TGGCGACCAATTGAGGGGGGAAAGATGTCGATCGAGCGGGATCGGAGAGGGATGGCTGGCGGGTGGGGAGAAGGTGAGGGGCAGGTGAGAGGGAGCTCCGAATGCGTTCGGGCGAAGGAATTGACCAGGATCGAGAAGGGTAGCGGCTGGAGGGGGAATTGTAAGGGGGTCACGTCAGAACTGATTACGAAGGGAGGAGGCGGGAAGTCCTAGGAAAAGTAGCATTGAAGAGAATGGGGTGGGGGAGAGGTCATGGAGTGGGGATGATGGAGGCCTGGAGCAGGGAGAAGGAGAGAGTGTTGGTAGGGGGACGGAGGCTTCTCACTTGACGAAAGTTCGATTCTTGGTCGAGGGAGAAAGTGGCCTCTTCAGTAGGAACAGCGCAGCCGTTGGGATTCCTTGAGCATCCAATTATCAGCTACGGCAAGCCTCCCCCGACGATGGCTATCGTCGCTCTTGATCGTGCCGTATGTAAGCGCTGGTGCGTACGCGCTTCGTTCTATTCAACCACTTAGCCGCGCCCGGGGGACGCGACGGAAGCTATCTCCTCAGTGTTGGCAAATAGCGCTTTCGTCGATGGCCTACACAGAAACCATGTCGGAGTTCATACTTAAATCCGAAGCTTAGGATAAGACATGCCCCCGACACGTTGGCTGTTGTAGCTCGTGTTCAAACGATGTAACCGATAGTGTTGCTCTTCTTTCACTTCGGACCACACGGCCGCGCCCGAATGGCGCGGTGGAAGAGTCACTCCTTCTCGGCGATGGTGTGTGGTGCTTGCGGCAATGGCGCACGCGAAAGAGGCGCGAAAGGTTTGCGCTTGTCACTCTTCGAAAAAGAGCGCAGGCGGGAGCGCTTACCGGAAGGCGCTCGCGCGACCTACCAAGTGGGAAGTCCAATTTCTCAAGATTTCTGAAATTGAATGTTGGCGAAATTTACATGAAAGTGCACTTTTGCCTTATTGTTTTATAGTTTTTATTTTTTATTTTTTTTAATAACAAAACCCAAGAGTCATTTTATCCAAACTTGCCAGGAATTCATAGAGTGCAGACCATACTAACTAATTGCAAAAACATAATTGAAAAAAAAAAAAAAAAGTTAAAAAACTATAAAACGGCAAAAGTGCACTTTCATGTAAAGTTTGCCAACATGTAGAATTTCCTCTGCTGAGATTTCGGAAATTTCTCAAGCTTTCTGAAATTGTAATGACCCGTCATAACACAGACTGAGAACACTGCTGATTTCTGAAGTTCTGCCGATGGAATGGATGCCTTGCTGCGATTCCCACATTCTGCTGAGTTTTCTAACTCTGTATGTGTGTGTGCCTGTTGACTTGCGTGCCTGTCTGAGTGCTTGTCGGCATGAGTGTGTGTGTGACCCGCAAGGGTAGTTCCTTGTTTGGCAGGCCCGTAGGGCCGGTACTTACCTGTGGCCGTGGCGTTGAGGGTTGCAGCACGGAAAACACTCAAGTAGCGGAGCCAGGGGCCCGCGGTGCTTAGAGCACCGGAAAAACACTCCAGTAGCAGGTACGCCGGTACCGCACCCAGTAGCAGTAGATGTGCCGGGTACTCGAGGCCGAGCAGAAGAAGACAAAGTTGGCATTTTTAGAGGCGCAGTAGCGGTAGGCTAGGTCTAGGCCGGTACCAGTCCATCCAGTCTGAGTCTAGAGCCTGTACGGGCAATATCAGAGTCTGCAATTATGTTTCCCTCCAAAAGGGAGGAGGTACCGGTTGCTTGGGAGGCCAAGCGGCCTGGAAGTCACCGCCCAGGAAGCAAGCAGGCCGCTATATCAAGAGGCCGAGGGAAGAGCTCGGCCTCATTCTTCAGTGTCCAAGTTTGGCGACACGCTGCTGGAGCGCTGGCTGGACTAGCGCTGGGTACTACAGCGCTGCTGGGAGGAAGAAGCCGGGAGCTTCCACCTTGGCTATGGTGGAACTCTACCGGTAGGAGGAGGAGGGAGAAGGGAACCAAGGAGGAGAGTGGTGAGGTACCTACCTGGCTATGGTGGACACCATCTTCATCACCTTGTTAGGCGCTGCATCTGGAAGGCCCCAGTTGGGGTAGTGCCGCATCAAGGAAGCTCGGGACAGAGTCAGGCATGGTGGTTGAGTGGGCAGCGGCATAGCTGCCTGGTGTTGACCTTGGGACAGACGGGCAGCGACATAGCTGCTTTGGGTTGTCCTTTGGACAGGAGGGTAGAGCCCTCAGTGCTCCGCCATGGCCTCGGCCTTCATGTAGAGGAAGAGGAAGAGTGGCCATGGCTATGGTGGACCTCATGTTGTGCCTACAGTAGAAGTGGGATTCGGACATTGCTTCTGATTCAGCCATTCAACATTATTATTGTTATTTCTTGTTTGAATAATTGGTCTATGCTGGAGTACATCATCTTCTTCTTCTTTCTTACTTTTTCTTCTTCTTCTTTCTCTCTCTCTTCTCTCAAGTTCATTCATTTCTTTTTGCAATTGGACGGCGTTGTACTTTCTGATGAATATGTACTTCGAAATTGGCCAGGGTCGTAACATTGGTATCAGAGTAGATTCTACTTGCTGGTGAGAGTTGACTTTGCCGCCATAACCCTAACCTAAGTGGTAAGGGCTAACCACTTAGGGTTAGGGCTGGAAGTTAGGGTTAAGTGGGGCAGCGTGGTGAAGGGAAGCTGCTCCCACCTGGCAGGGCCGTGTAGGGTCGACATTAGACCCAGCCAGGTAGCTTGAGTGCATGTTTGTGGTGGCGAGACATAAGGTGGGACTTCGTGATGCAATTTGAGAGAGGCGACAGTGAAGGGCACCTACAACTGGAATCTGAACTTCAAGGAAGACGAGGAGTGACTTTAGGGCTCCCCTCAAGTTAGGCAAGCTTGAGGGTGGCAGCCATATCTGCACCTACGGACTGCAAGTTGCTGCGTTGATCTTCAACATCGACGGAGGATCCGGCTTTGTACTTTGGGGTAGATGTTGACCCTCCTGATAGGTCACTAGTGTAGAGGATGCTAATTTGGGTCAGGAGGACTATGTGAGAGGGGGGTGAGTTCTTTCATCTCAAGAGCCCGGCCACTCAGGTAAGTGTCGTGCCGCCAGGATGCCCATGTGTGTGTGCATGGAATTGACTCCCTGTTGGGGTATTCTGGGTTCTTCTTCCATCCTCCATAGTCTTGATTGTGCATGAGGTGTGTGGACTACTTACTCGCCTGATGATTGTGTGCCATGCCATATCTTTCTATAGTGCTTTGTCTGTTTCATTCTGAATGGCTGTAGTCTGTAGGTTCTTTCTAGGGCTAAATTTTGTTTTTCAATTTGGTAGGGAGAGAGAGTAGGTCTTTGTGGAACTCTTGTTGGTTGGGACCCGGTTCGGACTCCACTGGGACCATTTGGGACTCAGTGGGACCGGGCCCAAACAAGAAGGG